TTGAAGGATAATAAAAGTTACTGAGCCACACGGAATCGTGATAGAAATTTTTGTATTTAATTTTTTTTATATACTTCTGTCGTTTAGTATGCATTTATACAACCGCAAACATAATTAAAATTCTCTGGAAGATGGCTACAGTAAGTATAGCTATTAAAATTTTAGAATCCAAATTTTTACAAAGCTTTATTTTCCTTTTATTTGCAGCATTAGTTTAGTTTAACATAGATAACGATAGATGGCGTTACTTACCATATGACCGTTTTCTTAAAATTTGTTTCATCGTTAATTTCTCACGTTGCTTGTTGCTGTAAATTTTCTTGATTTAATAAATAAATGATAAATGGTTAAAAGACAAAATAAAATATCCAACCTTGTCTTACTGGAGAATCCAGCTGAAATTACATTGTCACTAATAAACTGAGAAACACCACAGCAGGGATCTGGATGAATGACGTGGGCACCATCTGACTTTGACTATTTGACTTGACTTTTGTGCATTCAATTTATTACGAACCCGTACGCACGCAACACCCTTTTAACTCCATTCTCTATCTTTTCTTGGAAAAAAGTCTCCTTTATTCTGTCCGTACGCGCATACGTCATGAAAAAAAAAGTCCTCCAAATGGATGCGGGAACAGTCAAAATGGGTATTTTTGTTCAACTAGGATATCAGTAATTTTTCGCTATGACAATATTTCCTTTACATCGGACAAGGAAGTAAAAAGGTAAAGGAGTTAAAGCGTCATTAATGAGAAGATAGAGAATGCTAGAAACAGCATAAGAGCATCGAGATCATTTTAACTGAGAATGTGTAGGTATGAAAACAAAGAAATAAGAGTCCACTTTCTGACCACTACCCTCTGCCGATATAAATCTAGCAGTCGAATGGAATGTGACATAGAGAAAAAACTTCTCTTAGATCTGAGGGTTTATTTGTAAGCTAAGAAGAGGTGTAAAGTTCTGTGTAGTTTTCTTCTCCTACTTAGTTAATTTTTTCGAAAAAGGTCTGCATATGTTCTTTTTCGTGGGACGTCACTAGTGTTAGACGTGCACGAGCAGGGTGAATTTCAGGGGGAACGAAAAATTTACCCGCTCGATGAGTTTTCTTTCCTTATTAGGTTCAACCTTTGTCAAAGGTTCTTTTTTTTTCCCTGGGAAAGACAGGCATGCATTCAGAAGTTAGAATTAAGGAAATTAAATAATGAAGAATCTGCATATATGCATATACGTTCGTCGCATTTTGAAAAAACGATGTTACCTAGAGCCATCAAAATTTGAATAACGTAGTACCCCATTCAAAAAAAGTACCCTTTTGAAGCCCAAATTTTGAATTTGTTTTATTAGTTTTTCATATTTTGTTAAATTTTAATAAATTTTTGATTAATAAATTTTGATTAAAATTTTAATGCAAGCAATGGTAACACTGTTCGAAATGAAAAAAAAAATTTCGAAACTATTGCCATTCGAAAAAATGCAAGATATTTATCTTTCAATTTTAATTAACAAACTGGGCTGTATGAAAGCAATGTGTTGGCCGCGCCCGGTAATAAACTACCTTTATCTTCCCCGCGTCAGCGTGTTGCCATTTAGTAAAGCTTAAGGTATTTTCAAATTTAATATAGATGGTTACTGAGTAATAATTTAAGCGACTGAAAAGCAATAAAAACAATTCTTAATATATTTTTTCTACTTTTAATGTGATTGATTTAAATAAACGTATATACTAAGATCATGAGATGTCGAATTAGAAATATTCTTTTCGTGAAATGATACTAGCTGGACTTGTTAAAATCATTATATATTTTTTCCTTTTTCACGATAACTATTTCAGGTTAGTTTTGAAAGAAACAATTTAGCGAATATAAAAATATGTGTGGCAACCTCAAACACTGTATCTGGAATTCTTAAGATATGCTGTTTTGAAAAATTTTGTGAAAAAAATTTGTGTTTTAAAATATTTTGTGCTATTGAACTGAATTTTATGTGGCCTAAGTGCTAAGAACGTGATATTTAAAAGATAGAGTTAAGTTATAAAAAGTTAATAATAAAAAGACGAAAACAATTTTTTGCTACTCACCTTACTAAAAATTGAATATTGATACGATGAACTAAGAACAGACTGGAAAACATGTATTCCCAGCGTATAACACTGCATCGGGAATTCTAAACAGATGTTGCTATGTAGCTTTTAAAAATTTGATGATTTTGCTGTTGAACTGTATCACGAGTGCGTAAATACGAAGAAAGCGATGCTTAATAATAAAGTTCTTCTTAGAATAAATTTCCGCTTAGTGGGTTTGGCATCTAGATTTTCTTCGCAATGACACCTGAAATAGCTCTCTCACGTGTTAAAAATAAAATAATAAAAAGGGGATACATATTAAATTGTTTTTGCATAGTATCATACTTCCTTCACAATGTCCCCCCTCTTTATTGCTAATTTTATTTTTAAAAAAAAAGTCCTCCAAATGGATGCGGGAACAGTCAAAATGGGTATTTTTGTTCAACTAGAATATCAGTAATTTTTCGCTATGACAGTATTTCCTTTACATCGGACAAGTAAGTAAAAAGGTAAAGGAGTTAAAGCGGCATTAATGAGAAGATAGGGAATGCTAGAAACAAGAAGGGAACATTATGCGAATAATTTAATTTCCGAATGATGTCGTTACTGTAAGAACAAAACAAATTAAAAGCAGTTGTTCCGGTGCACCGGAACAGAACAACTCAACCTGACTCTTTCGCTTTTGGAACTATGCCAAAGAACATTTAATTCAGTTTGAATAGTCAGACTCGGACGAACGCATTCGCAAGGCAGCTGCTATGCTGTATATTCTTCACTGTTTTTTGTTCTGTTCTCGTACTTATAAGTGTTATATGTTATTTTCTTGTTTATGTGCAGTTATTTAATATAAGTTTCATGTTTAAAACGAGGACGTGTTTTGAGTTCCTTCACATTTACATCGCAACATAATATTTTGGAGGCACCGGCGAGATTTCGGTTTCATCAGCACTGCAACACTGCATTCGGTACAGTAATGGATACTACTGGATACTTTTAGCTTCGAACTTCATTTAAAGACCAAGCAAGATAAGTATTTTTTTTTTTCTTTTTTACAAGTTTGACTTTCGTTTTCCTCATTGCACCATTACGTCGTAATGGAAGACAAGGTTAAGATTGCAAAAAATAGTAGAGGTAGAGCGAAAGCTGCTCTTACCAGAATTTCAAATTTCATTAATGATGATAAGCAGTTATTCGAAAAATACGATTTAATGAATAAACTTCTTCAAAAATTGAAAGCGTTTATTCTGATTTTGACAAGGCAGACTCAGAACTTCCGCCGGAAAGTTCTGAAATGGAAGAATTTGAGAAAAAATACTATGAAACCAAAGCCAAACTACAACAAGAACTTGAGAAATTAAATGTTACTGTTAATATGCAAGTTACTAATGTTAATGAACGTCAAATGCCAGGTTATAGTACTCCAAATACTGCTAATAATTTTAAATTACCGAGAATAAATATGCAATCCTTCAACGGTAATTACAGAAACTGGATGTCTTTCAAGGACTTATATGTATCATTAGTGCATAACAATGAAAATTTAAGTAACATTCAAAAATTTCAATACCTAAAGGGTTTATTAACTGATGAACCGGCTTCTGTTATTAAACATATTCCCATTTCAGAAAATAGTTATATGGAAGCCTGGGGAAAATTATTATCTAGGTATGATAAAAAAAAACAAATTGTCACATCACTAATAAAAACTTTCATGGAACAATCTTGTGTGATTAATGCAAACTCAATTAATTTGCGAAAAATTGCCGATACATCTGATGAAATTATCAGAGGTTTAAAATCTATTGATCCAAAAGCTAGTGAAAGGGATGTTTGGCTAATTTATATTTTATTACAGAAGGTTGACAACGAAACATGTAAACAATGGTCTGAGTTTTCAGCAAAAGTGGAATTTCCTACTTTTGAAATGTTTATTCAATTTATAAATGATAGATGTTCCTCTTTAGAAATTTTCCACGAAAAAGAAAGGGAAAAAACTCAACCTAGTGTTAAAAGATTTTCTGTGAACAAAAGGTATCAAATGTATTATGTGTAAATCAGATCATTTTCTTTTCAAATGCCCCAAATTTAAAGCACTAACTGTCAAAGAAAGAAATCAATTTGTCAGGAAAAATAATCTTTGTTTAAATTGTTTTTCTAGTCAGCACAAAAAATCTGAATGTATGTCTCAACATCGTTGTCATTATTGCCAGTTATTGCATCATAGTACTCTGTGTGAAAATCAGTTAAAAAGTTATTCCAACATCTGCGTCTCTTTCTGAGACCAGTTTTCAGTCAGAACAGCAAAGAAAGAATCCAACCGCGAATGAAATACCAAACATTGCGTCTACGAATGAAAACAAAAACGGAACTGTAATTCAAAATAATAGCGTTCAAACAACTTTTGGCTTATTGCCAACTGCATATGTAAATGTAATTGATTCGATGGGTCAAAAAACGTAATATTAGAATGCTTTGTGATAGTGGTTCCGAATCAACATTATTATCTGAATCTTGTATTAATTTATTGGGATTTAAAAGAAAAATGCGCGTTTTCCTGTCAAGGGTTTAGCTGAGTCAGAAGTCGCAGTTACAAAAGGTTGCGTTGAAATCGAGTTGATGTCAATCCATGATACATCAGTGAGAATGCCAATTAAGGCATTTGTATTAGATAAACTAACTAACTGCTGCGCTTCCAAGCCAAAAAATAAATGAGAAAGACTTTTCGCATTTGAAAAATGTAAAGTTAGCTGATCCATATTTTCACATTCCGGATAAGATAGATATTATTCTAGGATCTGACTACTTGTTTTCTATTTTACTTCCTGGACAAATAACTTGTTCTCAAAGTGATTTAATTGCTCAAAACTCAATTTTTGGTTTCCTCATATCCGGAAAACTACCGGAATATCAAACGAAATCAAATTCACTTTCAAACATGCATATTTATGAAATAAATATTGACAGCGAATTGAAAAGGTTTTGGGAGTTAGAAGAAGTACCAAATTCAACTGACACTGCATTCTCGCCTGAAGAACAATTTGTTGAAACACATTTTCGGGAAAATTACTCAATTAATTCAGATGGTCGTTTTGTGGTGAAGTTGCCATTTTTAAAATCTAAATCTGAATTAGGTAATTCAAAACCAGCTGCACTTTCTCGATTATATGCTATGGAACGTAAATTTAAGGAAAACTCGGAATTTGAAAACCAATACAAGGATTTTATGCATGAATATGAAAATTTAGGTCATATGGAATTGGTCACACACAAAACTGTTTAAATAGATTTCAGAATGAGCAATATTTCCTTCCCCATCATGCAGTGATCAAGCCGTCTAGTACAACTACTAAATTAAGAGTCGTTTTCGACGCTTCATGTAAAACTTCCAACGGTAAATCATTGAATTCTATCTTGGGTGTTGGTCCTAAATTGCAACGAGACATTTTCGAAATTTTACTTAATTTTCGATTTCCGGAAATAGTCTTTTCAGCAGACATAGAGAAAATGTACCGTCAAGTTTTAGTGTCCGATGAGGATCGGAACTACCAACAAATTCTTTGGAGGTTTAATCCTAACGAAGAAATACGCACATACAAGTTAAACACCGTAACATATGGTTTAGCTCCAGCTTCTTTCCTAGCCACTAGGATGCATTAAGCAAATTGCACTAGATTATTCACAAAATAGTGCTGTTTCTCATACTTTACTACACGATGTATACATGGATGATTTGCTATCGGGTTCAAGTACCGATAGTGATGCAATATCACTTTGTAAGGAAATTACCAATATTTTACAAACACACGGTTTCCACCTACGAAAGTGGAATTCTAATTCAAATGCATTTCTTGCAGAATTTCAAGAACATTGTTCAACAACGGACACTAATTTAGAAATAATTCCTAATGATAAGGAAAGCACGAAAGTCTTAGGATTATTTTGGAACTCTTCAACAGACACATTCATTTTCAAACCCGCACTTGCACTCACCTCACCGCTGACAAAAAGACACATTTTGTCCCAATCGGCACGCATTTTCGATCCATTAGGATTAATTTCACCATGTACTGTTGTAATGAAAATTTTTTATCAGAAGCTCTGGCTTACAAAAGGGGACTGGGATTCTCCTATTCCACAAAGTCTTGCTGAAGATTTGTTTAAATTTCAGAAATCTTTCAATGCAGTTGAACATTTTACCGTTCCTAGAGGTGTCACGCTTATTTCCTCTGACACATTTGAATTGCACGGCTTTTGCGACGCGTCAACACTTGCTTACGCTGCTGCAATATATTGCAAACAAATACACGGAAATGAAATAAAGGTTTCTCTCTTAGTTTCTAAAACTAAAGTCGCACCTATCAAACAAGTATCTGTTCCTAAATTGGAACTATGCAGTGCTCATTTGCTTTCAAAGTTATATCGTGCAGTCATGAACACTCTCAAAAAATATAAGTTTGATGTTTACGCTTGGACTGACTCCAAAGTCGTACTTTCCTGGCTCTTCTCGGCACATCCCCGTAAATGGAAGACTTTTGTTGCAAACCGGACGTCTCAAATAATCGAAGTACTTCCAACAAAATACTGGAGGCATGTCCCTTCCAAAGAGAACCCAGCAGATATCCGTTCGCGTGGTATTGATCCCAAATGTCTTCCTAATTGCAACTTGTGGTGGAATGGCCCAAGTTGGCTTTTTTTTTGGATTCGTCTCACTGGCCGAAAGAGGAATCCGCTTCTAAAGAAATCAAGGATCTAATTAAAGCTGAACAAAGATCTGATCCTATATTTTCATTTCATAGTGCTACATCAAATGAATTATATAGTGATTTATTTGAAAAATATTCATCATTTTCTAAGATTATACGCATTTTAGCATATTGTTTAAGATTCATCAATAAGTGCAAAACCAATAACAAATGTCAAACACTTATAACTGATTCCTTTTCTCCACTCACTTACACGGAAACTAAAAATGCAGAAATAATCATAATTCGATGGGTTCAGAAAGATTATTTTAATGAAGACCTAAAATGCATTAAAAATCAAAGATCGTTGCCTAAGAAAAGTCAGCTACACTCCCTCCATCCGTTTATAGATGAAAACAGTCTTTTACGGGTGGGAGGGCGTTTACAAAATTCAGAATTGTCTTTTAATCAAAAGCACCCAGTGATTCTACCTGCTAAACACAAGATAAGTGAGCTCATCGTAAAAGAAAAGCATGTGACTTATTTACATGCTGGTGCTTCATTACTGTCCCACATTATCAAACAATCATATTGGATCATAGGTGGAAAAAAGCTCATTAATAAATGTGTTCACAAATGCATCAAATGCTTCAAATTTAAAGCATCCACCACATCTCAGCTTATGGGTAATCTACCTAAGCATCGTGTAACACTCGAGAGGCCTTTCTTCAACTGCGGAGTGGACTATGCCGGTCCTATTTCAATCAAATTCAACAAGGGTCGTGGAGCAAAATCAACCAAGGGTTACATTGCTCTATTTATTTGTCTCGCTACTAAGGCACTACACATCGAGGCAGTGAGCGATTTAACCGCTGATGCATTTTTAGCTGCTTTGCGTCGCTTCAGTGCTAGACGAGGAGCTCCAAGTCACATTTACAGCGACAATGCAACAAACTTCGTTGGGGCTAATCGAAAACTCAGCGAAATACAACGATTGTGGGCCTCACTTCCTAAGAACGAAGCCGTTGCTCATCATTTAACTCAAGCATCAATAGAATGGCACTTTATACCTCCAGCATCTCCTCATTTCGGAGGAATTTGGGAGGCCGCAATTAAATCAACCAAATATCACTGTAAAAGAGTAATAGGTGAAACGCTACTTACTTTCGAAGAATTGACAACTCTATTGGCTCAGATAGAAGCCATTTTAAATTCTCGTCCGTTATGTAGTGTAAACAATACTGACATTGATTGCATTAATATTCTCACTCCTTCACATTTTCTTACAGGAGACGTGATCCTATCCCCTCCTGAACTACCTCTTACTAGTCCTGCTAATATACGGAATAGGTGGGATCTCCTTCAAAAGATGCGCAAGGACTTCTGCAAATCATGGACCAAAGCATATCTATCTTCTCTTCAAACCAGAAAGAAATGGAAGGACACTCAGCCGAATATGAAAACTGGAGACATCGTCCTGTTACTAGATGATGGTCATATTCCAGGTTCTTGGCCACTAGGACAAGTGGTCGAACTTCATCATGGTGCTGACGGACTAGTTCGTGTGGCCACGGTTAAAACTAAAAGCTCTATTTTTAAAAGAAACATTCATAAATTAGCACCTTTGCCCATATATCAGGACTAATGCCTGATAGGGTGGGAGTATGTTCCGGTGCACCGGAACAGAACAACTCAACCTGACTCTTTCGCTTTTGGAACTATGCCAAAGAACATTTAATTCAGTTTTGAATAGTCAGACTCGGACGAACGCATTCGCAAGGCAGCTGCTATGCTGTATATTCTTCACTGTTTTTTGTTCTGTTCTCGTACTTATAAGTGTTATATGTTATTTTCTTGTTTATGTGCAGTTATTTAATATAAGTTTCATGTTTAAAACGAGGACGTGTTTTGAGTTCCTTCACATTTACATCGCAACAGCAGTCATAGATAAAACTACTGATGACTAATTAGAGAAGGTGAATGTGCAGCTTAATTAACGGAATCGTAAATCGAATGCCAATTGGTGATGGGTCGTTTCTTGCATTAGGCTGGGATGAAGTTCAACAGTTACAGGAAAAAGGTTCGGCGTGATCATTACAAGTAATTTGCGATGCTTTGTCTTAGTCAGTATAACGAAAACTATCACTAGGTGGACGAATCCATTTTTTTTTTTTTAATTTACGGGAGTTCGTTTTCAGAACGCACTAATGAAGGGGAAAATAACACTCAGATTTCAAAAATTTTCAGAACCTGGGGCTAAAATTCTAAGAGGAAAAAATACTCTAGAAAATACAATATATATGTAACAAATCTGCTTCATAAACTGAAAGTGTTTTTTCATTATCTACTGATCTCTGTGTTTCTAATGCAAGAGTTAAAGTTAAGTTTAATCTGTTAAAGGTTTACATCGGAAAAGGACGTAACGGATCCTATCTTTCCACTTCACGTTAATGAAAGCGTGTCTCTTAAATACGCCAAGGACATCACAACGACATCAACTCTAAGGTCACAGAATCCCAAGTCTATTGCTTCGCGAATCGTATTTATCTTCGCTGCTCCGCAAATAGCTTCATGAAGATAGGCAGTATGCTCATTATGTAACTGCACCTATATAAATAAGCTAAGCTTCCTTTTGCCTTTTAATATCCAGTTTAATTTGTCTGTAATTATCTTAGATAGTGCTTTGAGGATACTTCTTTCTAGGTGTATGTACATTAGATGACTAACTTGTTGGAGCTGCAATTATGTCATTTCCAATAACATGAGATCGATAATAAATAATTCAGTAAGAATAATACTTCCAATTTACTGAATATTCTGTAACTGGTTCCGACAGGCAAAAAATATTCATACCCTGACAAAGATGACTTTTAAGAGTATAAAACACCACAGATAGATACAGAGAGCTGTTCGCACAATTTTGAGACGAATTCGCTTTGCAATAAAAAAAATCGTCTGCTTGGAAAACATCTTATTAACGATAACTATATTTTTTAAAATATAAATTACCGTCTGCTACTTGACAGATATGTTTTCGTGCAAAATGGGGCTTTTAAAGAAGCAATCGACGGAAGGTTTTGTTTGTGCTCTGTCTGAAAAAAACTATTAGCATCTAGTTACAAAAAAACGTTCTATAAAAGCCATGATTTTTGGATATCCATAGCTACGATAGGCAAGACTGTCAGCAAGAGAGGAAAGAATGTTTGGATTTAAGTGGAAGAATTGTTTCAAATACATATCCAAGGAAAAAACGGAATGCTTCGAATGTTGCAAAGGTAAGATCTTTAATGTTAAAATAAAATCCGCAAAGTCAAAGGGCAGCTGAAAAAATCATTGCTCAGTGTCAAATGGTCAGTGTCAACTGTAAACAAAGTGATTAGTGCTGATTTTAATCTTAAAAAGGCAAGAATATAACGTGCAATTTCTTACCCCACGTCATATCGCCGAACGGACAACATGCTGCGCAATTCTTTATGAGAAACATTTATCCCGATAAGAATGGAAAACTTTTTGTCACTATAGATGAATCTTTGGCGTATTTAAATTATTGCTAAAAAATGAGATTCCTTTATTGTCATCAAATAGGGAACAAAAATCTTAAAACATGGTCCAAAGAATCTAAACGAAATTTTTCAAAACGATTTATGATTGTTGCTGGTTTTTCATAACGGCAAATTGAAAATAAAAAGAGTGATGTAAAATGTTAAAATCTACTCCACATATTATCAGGAATAGGTCTAATACCCAGTTTTCAAATATTAAACATCTTCTCTTTACTCACATTGTCATCAGTCAGTAGGACTGCACCGAGACAAAGCAAGCAGCCACAGGTCAAAATCAAAATTCCTGGAAAAAATGGAATAAGAACCTGGTATCAAGAACTCATATCCCTACTAAATTCCCTGATATATCACCCATTAAAGTTTTGCACTTCTGGGCTTTTAAAAAGCGGATTGCCCTTACGTTGACATCCTCCTTGGATTTTGGAATGCTATCCGAGAGGAATGAGATAAATTACCTCTTCTCATACTGCAAAAGGCTTTATTGTCTTGGAAATTACTATAAAGAAAGATAGGGAAGAATAAGGATTATCAAACAGAGCATTTAAAACACAAAAATGTTAGGTAAAATATTTATGTAAATACTATTAAAATCGTCTAATAAAAGGTGTGGGAACAGTCTCTGTATTAGCATGTGGATATAATAAGTTTCAGGGTCGGAGGCAAAGCCGGTGCAATCGATGTCGTTGCACCGGGCGGAATAGTTGCCAACAACTGTTATCGCCCTATATTACATTTAAGTAAATTAAATAATGAATAATCTTCTTGAATGCATGTATGTTTCTAGCATTGTGAAACAACAACGCATTATGAATTTACCTAAAGCCATTAAATTTTGAATAACGTAGTCCTCCACCGGAACATGACACTTGGAAGCGCGAATTTTGAATTTTAAATTTGTTTTATTACCTATTTCATATTTTGTAAAACCTTAACGAATTTTTGATGAACAGATTCAACGATTTCAAAGCGAGCAGTGGCAACACAGTACAGAATAAAACATTTTTATATCTAGCGCACAAAACTGTGGATCGAAAATTCTAAAGATATGCTGCTTTTAAATATTTTGTGATTTCACTGCTCAATCGAATTTTATGTGGCGTGTGAGCGCCAAGAATGTGATATTTAATAAATAACGTAAACAGACAAAACGTTAATAATAAAAAGACCAAAGAAAGTTTTGTAAAACCATCTTAGAAAGAAAACTGAATACTGATATGATAAACTGAGAGAAGACTGAAAAAATCAGGAAAATGTATGCCAACACTTAATGCTGAATCCGTAATTGTGACCGTATACTGCTATGTTGCTTTTTAAATCTTTTGTAATTTTGCTGTTGAATTGTCTGTGGCGTAAGTGCGAAGAAAATTATCCTTAATACTAAAGATAAAAAGACCCAAAAAATGGATTAGTAGGACTGAGTGTAACAGCAGACTGGTAGACTGAGAGGTCATCAAGAGCGTAAAAAACCTTAACAAAGACTTTAGAGCGACCGTTAACATCTGAAACCT